GAGCACATATTGAGTGTGACATTGTACATATTGCATAGATTGCCTCTGTCAGATTCATATTAACTCGTGGTGTTGCGGCCTTGACCTTGTCAGCTAGCTAAACACGTTCACAATGGCAGTGTATTACCACTGATGTGTGTTGGGAAACTAATGTATTTGAGAGTCAGCTGGATGACTGAGGCAGATGTTCTCCCCATGAGCATATCTGTAAGTCATTTAGTAGAAGAATGCAGCAATATTAATGTTGTATAACTCTATGGGGTATAATGAGGTGATATGTGACATCATCAGTGTTACATAGCCTCATAGTATGGTTCAGTTAATCAATAAGTAAATCACCAGCTTCTTAATCCTGTAATTATAGCAATGATAATGCCAAGTGACTTCACATGTTTGGCTGTATGTGGGATGAAGAGTAAACTGAGGAAAGTCATTAAGAGTCTGAACAGGTGACGTGGCCTTGCATTTGTGACAAAAAGCGTTTCAGAGGCTGCAGTGATTTTTCTCGACACGGTGGTGGAACAAGTTTCCCACGCTGCTCTCCTTATGCTGTCTGATGCTCTGTGATGCCTCTAATCAGGCAAGGACACATGCTGTGACCCAGGGAAGAAAAAGCAGGGCCATAAAAATCAATATTTCCTGGTGTGCGTAGTTACTGCAAACAATGTTGATTTTTGAGAAGGATGCCGAAGCTGAATGCTGAAGCACTGACGCTGTTCCATGCACAATAGCACAATGGCCTTAATTGAGGAAACATTAGGGCTGATAATGGCTCAGTGGATAAAGGCGCTAAACCAAGAACCGGTGGCTCATATTCTAGGAGGTGCTCCGTGGGATGCTGACTCATTACCAGAATGCTGCAGGCTCTAATCTTCCTCTGGCTGCTGCCATTGTCCTGTTCAGAAAGGCAGAACATCTCACTTCCTTTAAGGTGCCGCAACATGCCACCCCTCCCTCCACCTTCGCTAAAGCCCTGCCGCCTTGAATATGAAATAAGACTCGTCAGTGGACAAACTAAGATGAAACGAACGCAGTCAGACATTTGTGCCGTTTCTTGTTCTGAAGTTTTGTAATACTCCTCGTTTCATTAATCCGCGCTCATTTATTTTTCCATATAATATGGCCTCTGACGTATGCGAGCCGTATTTATAATGTAATTGCACTCTTCTTTGAAAGTGTGCGTTCCTCGGAGCCCAATATATCTTTTAAAGTCCAAGGGAAAACTTCACAAGAAGCATTTAAATATTTCATTACAGCAAGTATGGATGGCATGGTGAAAAAAGTGGTAACTTAGCAACTGCTTCCAGTCTTTATAATCAGAGGATTGTGTAGGCCGTTCATTCAGAGATGCTCGCAGCTCACACACCAAAATATATCAGACTTTAATTTATTTACATTTTTCGCATTATGTAACAGCATTTGCCTGTTTCATCTCTCCTTCACGCACATTCCCGTCCTCTTGAACCCTCAGCGTTAGGTGTAGCAGCTGCCGCATTGTTCTGATACATCATCTCAGTTAAGTATATAATGACTGCAATGTCAGAACACCAGTCAAACAACAAAACAGGCTCAGCACAGCTATATTTGCTTAAGCAGAACACTTGCAGGTCTGACTCCACCAGTGTGGGCTGCACCAGTAAGTGCTATTTAGCAGTGGCCTCAGCTTTCTTAATGCCAGAATCATCTTGAAGCAGCCAAACTATAACCATGGACAACAGCCTTACATGGAAAAATAGGAGGTACCTATAAGATACAGTCCTGTGCAAGCAACAGTGACCACCCTTAATTTATTTCATTTCCAGTACAAGTAACGGCTGTTAAGTTATTCATTGGTAACACTTTATTTGGAGAGGTCCTTTGTAGATGATTAATATACTCTTAACAGATTATCAGTAACACATCAAAAACAGCAGTGAAGTAGCTGTGGTGCAGCATCTGAATACATTGAAGGAAATATCTAGTAAATGTACTGTTGATACTTTACTGACATTAAGTAGATGTATTGTTAATATGTTACTTCCATTGTGCAAAACTTAACCTTACCCAACCTTACCCAAAACCTAACCCTAACCCTGGCCCTAATCCTAACCCCAAGCCCTAAACTTAAACAAAACCTAATCCTAACCCTCATATGTTTTTGGCATGTTACAGTGAGTCTGTTGAGTGTTGTTTAATCTAAAAAGGACCACTCAAAATAATGGGTCACCTATTCGTTTTCAGCAGAAAATATATTTAATAGAAAAATACGCCAAGTTAAAGCAACACTATGTAAGATTTAGCGGATTTGGAGACCACTCTGCTCGAAATATGTAATTACACCCAATGTGTGAAAGAACATTTTGTAATGTCAGTTGTGCTATGGACCCCCACAAGCAGATGAATCTGACTTTGCAAGAGCGTTGAAAGAATATTTAAAGAATACTCAAACTCAGTCAAAACTTAAATTGAGTGAATTATCTGCTATTGTCATCACATCTTCATTGGTATAATGTTGCTTTTGCATTTGAGACCCTAAACATTGAGTCAGACTTTCTTTTTTGTGTCTGTATTTGTGACGTTAATACATACAGATGTATGACGTGGTCTGAAAAACTCCCGCCAAATCCACCCTGGTACCACTGACTTTTAAATGATTATTTCAGGCTTTGCAGGGCGACTCGCAGTGGCACACACACTCCATATTATAGTGTGCTTTTTAATCTCCAAACTCAGTAATGCTACTTCTAGTAAAGCATAGTACTGTTTTAATATAATAACCAGTTTTTCAGTGTTTAGTGTGTCTGAACTTTGCTGTTCTTACAGCATCCAGCCTTTTCAGGAGACTTGCTTCCAGTTTTTCAAAGAAATCTGCATGGATATTTTTCCACACCTCTCAGAATTTGATTGTATTTTCTGTCAGTGTAATCCCAAACACATTCAGTGTGTTTGGGATTACACTGACACTGTTGAGGTCTGGACTCTGTGGTGGTCAGTCCATTGATCTGAGAACACCAGCAGCTTCTTTGTTTGATTAGCAATATTTCTTCCTTTGTGTCTGCTTCCTTTTCTCAGTAACAGCTTCTTGACATCTACACACCCTTTCAGGCTCATAGCGTTAAGTCTTCACACAGTGGAAGGATGGACAGAAGTGCATGTGGATTTTTTTAGTTCTAAAGTAAGAGTGGAGCTTGATTTTCTCCTCTCTCTCAAAGATGATATCTTTAAACTTTAAGCTTTTTTCTCTATCTGATGGTGACAGTTTGGTGGTCTACTAAGTCTGGCACAGTTGTTAGGAGTCTTTTTCTCTCTGTTTCTCATATTTTTAATCATTTGTAATTTGTATTGCATTTTTAATATTTTTTTCTGTACTCCACTTTTAAAATCTCCTGATTTTTTTTTGCTTTTTGACTTTTTTCTTTCTCACGCAAGGCGAATATCTCCTCTGAAATATCTCCTGAAAAATGAATAACTTGCACTTGGTGGCTGTTTTGACTGGTAATTAAATAATTGAAGGGTGATTTCTGTCTTTTACACAGTACTGTAGTATTGGGCTGACTGTGTGGAACAGGAGCTGCTGCAGTTTAAAAAAAAACACATGAACAGGGACTGAGACATAGTGTTCTTCACAAATCTGTCTCGTCAGGGTACAAGCTCCCACCCCACCTTTTAACGCATTTTTCATTTTCACAGGCATCTGGGTTCAGCCCTCTGTAGGCTAATGCAACAGCATGCTCCAACATCTTGCAAGATTAAAGGTGGCAATTAGAGGATAAAGAGGCGTGTTTTATGGTGTGTGTAAAAGCGCGTTAGTGTGAGCATTGTGTATGGAGCAGTCAGTGTGCACTGAGCTGTGGCCTGTGCTGCACTGTGGCTCTGCAGTGGGGCAGGTGTGGCTCACGCATGCGCAGAGAACGGCGCGTCCTTATCGTCCCCACCTGAGTCTAAAAGCTGTGCTTAAAAAAAAAACTCGCGAGAGCAACCTGTCATCTAACGCGTTTTTACTTTTAGTGCTGGAAGAGAGTGTTTCAGAGAGAGAAAGAGAGAGAGGGAGAGAGTGTAAGAGGGAGTGAGTGAGTGAGTGAGTGAGAGAGAGAGAGAGAGAGCACAAAACAGTATTTAAAAAACGAACTCCATCACCAATCTGAAGATTTTTTCGAGGTATTTTTGATTGTATTAAAATGAAAGGGTTGTATTTAAATTGCAAATAATAAAATCCTACTTTTCCTTTTTCCATCAAGGAATTCTGCTCCTAAGTGTGGCTGTTCACGTAGCTCTTTACTACTGTAAATGTGCTTTAAAATGACGAGAGAGAGAGAGAGAGAGAGAGAGAGAGAGAGGGAGACATAGGATTTAACAGTCTGGCCTGAAAATGTTTTTGAGGTCTTTTCCTTCGAGATAAATATATAAAAGAAATAAAGGGATTCTCCAGAGGAGGATGGATTCCCCTTTTGAGTCTTGGTTCCTCTCTGGGTATCTTGCTCTCAGCGGGGTTTTCCTTGCCACTGCCTTGTCGGACCCGGACTTTGCTGTGAAGCTGCTTTGTGACAGTGCACGTTGCAAAGAGCTCTATATAAATAATCTCGGCTTGATTTCTCAGCGTATCTGAAAAACTGTAACGCAGCTCTGCTCAGTATACTAGTGCCTCAGAGTGACAGGCGTGAGAGAGAGAGAGTGTTAGTTTACTTGTCTCCTACCCGTATTCCGACAAAGCCCCGCCCCCCGCGCTCGGATTGCCTGGTAGTTCACACTCAGAAACAGTCCGCCCAATGAGTGTGAACTACTGCCCTGCTCGAGCGGGGGGGGCGGAGCTTGACGGAACAGCGTCCTGGAACGCTGAACCGGTTCGCGTCCTTTAAAACCGCGGACTGCGTTCCGAGTATCAGCGTATCGCAGCGGAATACGGGTGGAGTCTGTCGGAGTACGGGTGGGCGTGTGTCGTTTTACAGGTAGAGAGAGAAAGAAAGAAAAAAAAAAGAATTGTACTGGGGCGTGACGTCAGCGATGTAATGACGTTCGGCAGGAGGGCGGGCCGTTGAAAGAAGTCCGTCTGCGCGCGGGACGCGGCTGCTGCTGCTGTCATGCAGCTTCACTCAGCCTCCGACAGCGGCCGCGCGGCCATGAAGACGAGCTCAGAAGTGGAGGTAACTTGTCTTTTTTCCTCTCCAGATTTCGCAGCGTGGTAATATTTACATTTAAGTCACGAGGAAGAAAGAAAGTGTAGTCGTGTGGAGTTTAATGTCGTTAAACGTTAGTGCCAAACGCAAGTCAAAGCGCTCGAGGAGCGTTGACTGCGCTGAGAATAGTAACGATGCTGCCTTCAGTTTCTGTACATTAGCAATGCATTTTGCACACGCAGAGGTAGTTGCGTGCTTCATTTGCAGTATATTATTTAACAGGTTCATTATAAAAGTGAAATGCACGTGCAGTGCAAAGTTGCCTGTATGACAAACTCACGTGCAGCTGTAACTTGTGTTTTATTAATGTTGTAGCGCATTATATCGTGCATGCAAAGCGATGCGCAGTGGAGCTCTAACGTTGGAGGAGCGAGACCTAAGATGGGTTAAAGTGTTTAAGTGTTCAGGCGCCTCTCGTTTGAAAGCTAAACGGGGCTGCAGTGCAAAATGCAGCGCTGTACTTATACGTGTTCTCCTTGTTTGCCACCCGCCCCCCCCATTCAACATTGATGACTTGTGTGCTTTTCTGGGCGTTTAATTAACAATGAAGTTGCTCTCTGCTTCTACTTAGAGCACGATGGGCAGCAAGATGTAAAAGCTTGCTTTTGCGCGAACGTTTGTGAGCGAATCGGAGGGAAAGAGCGAGATGTTGGTTCGTCCGTTGAAACCCCTCAGTCCCCCCACGATACCCCGCGACTGCCAGGTCTTGTATCAGTACGCCATGGGCGCGCGAAGTGCAACTAAATTAAACGGCGCCGTCCACCTTCTCGTGTGATGGGCGTGCAGGGCAACGGCAGCAGCTGGAACTTGTGGACCTCTTGAGGAGCGAGCAGGACTCGAGCGAAAGATTTACAGAAAAAAAGAAGAAGAAGGTGAAACTGAGGAAGAAAATCAAAGTAGCTTGAAAAAAGCCATGGGTATAAAACACTTTCTGCTGCTTTTGATCTACGTGGACCCGCTGCACGTGCTGTGCACGACGGCGCCCAAACGCGCCAAATCCGCGCCCAGGCGGCCGCCCAAAGCGCGCGAGCTCAACAACAGCAGCACCACGGCCAGCAGCAGCACGACGGCCACTACGCAGCGGCTCGCGCAGGCGGCCTCCACGCACGACACGTGCCTGGGCTACTACGACGTGAGCGGTCAGTTTGACAAGGAGTTCGAGTGCAACAACACGGACCACCGCTACTGCTGCGGCTCGTGCTTCCTGCGCTTCTGCTGCCAGTTCAAGGGCAACCGGCTGGACCAGAGGGCGTGCAAGAACTACAACAAGCCCGACTGGGTCAAGACTGTGCCCCCGTCCCCTGCCCCGACGGGCGACGCCTACGACCCGAGCATGGACCAGACCAACACGGCCGTGTACATCACATGCGGGGTCATAGCCTTCATCATAGTGGTGGGGGTGTCCACCAAAGTGGCGTACGACAAGGCCACCCAGCCACCTCAGGAAATGAACATACACAGGTGAGCACTGGGGAAGGGGGTTGGTGGGTGGTCCGCATTGGCTGCACTTTGATATATTCAGACATGTTGATATGTGCATTCACAAAAACAAAGGTTTTCTTTGTGGTTCTCAGCTTTGACAATGAACTTTTACATTGCGTGGAGGTTCTGTACCTTCTTCTTCACAAGATTTGGTAAAGAAGATTAGTTTCATTCCAAAAGCGTAACAACTGATGTATAACGGAAAACACATGTTTATGTCTTTAATAAAGGTGATTGATCATCATATAGGATTGATATTTCTTGTGTGTGTAAAGCCCACTCCCAACAATGTATATCAGGGAAAAAAGAAAATTTTTGAAAGTGGTGTGTTGTGTGTTTTGCAACAAAACCCTTAATATAGAACCTCAACATTATGTGTAGGATCTTAAATTCTCCACATTCACAGACTACAAACAGACTACACCATAGATGACTGAAGTTGTGTCATCATTCTGTAGTCGGCGCCATGCCCATATTAGAAACTCTGGGTCCAAGGATTTCTCGATGGTGAGAATGCAGGGGATTTCAAAAAGCACACTCTGTGTTTAGTTCCAAACTTGATATATTTTATCCTGCGTACATTTTTCCACTGAATGTGACCAGATCCTCTGAATTACAAGGTTGTTAAGGAGCTGAAATATGAATTTTGCTACTTGCGAGCTAACACATTAACACATGGGGCTAACACATGAATTGACATCATACCACAATCAAACTAACAAGCTTTGTCCTGGTTGTGGTAGTTAGGTTGCTTTGGCAGTAGTAAAGTACATTAGCAGTAGCTGGTGTTGTTATATAACAGAGTTAAAGTTTAATAATAGACTTACTTTCATGCATTGTCACTTCAGTAGCTACGCAGGAGTGGTAGCTTGCTACAAGCATGGATGAAGCAGTGTTTATATTTCAGTTCCTAAACAACCTCATAATTCAGAGGATCCAGTGGTATTCAGGAAAAATGTATGTAGGACAAAATGTTTCGGGTTTGTAACCATTTTGTGTAGCATCGATTTTCAAAAATCCCATTCTTGTTTGCCATAGAGAAATCCAGCTTACACCTAATATGGGCAGGACACCTAATATGGGCAGGACTTCAGAGGTCGATTTGTGCTCTAACAAGGGCGGATAAAGGAGATCTGGGGAGGGTCTCCAGTATTTTTTAGCAATACAGAATGTTTATTTTACCAATAGTGCTTTATGTATGATGCTAATTTCCACCATGGAAATCTAACTTTTTTGTCCTGGCTCCTTTATGGCCCCCTCCATTTAGAGGTGCTGGGTGGGAAGTCAGTTCCACAGTTCCCCAGCTGTAACATCCCTGTATTAAATGGCCGCATGTGGCCCAAGGCCCTCTTCATGTCCGATGCTGGCTGTCCCAATTGCATTGTGAACAGCTCATGCAACTGAACGGCTGGGCGCTCTCCCTCTCCTGCAGATGCGCATCCCTTTCGCACCGCTGCCCGCACGGAATATTAAACGGGGTGCGAGGCGGCCGTGAGCAGATTCCCGAACAGAGCCGGAATGTGCACCATTTATGATGCTTCATAGACACCCTCTGTTTTGTGTTTGGTCAGAGTGAGGCTTTACAGTTCATTGCTGATACTTCAATTTTACTCTCCATTTGGTCTGTACAATAAGAACTGATTTCATAACTGTGTCCCCCCTGGCTGGGCAGACCATAACGCGATTTCAGGTCATTTCTGTTGATGAAGATGATCTCTGTTCACGTCTCAGAATTCTTCCTGCACTTCAACTCACCTGATATAGACAATTTTCTGTTTTAGTAATATTAAGAAAATGTTCTTTTGCTCCATGTTTGTAGTATTTATCAAATTCTGAGTTTAACGAGCTTAGTCGTCCTGTGTCCTCTGTTTGGAAGAACTCTAAACCTCGGCTTGGTGATACCTACCCCGCACACAGGTTGACTGCAGTTCAATATGACATCTCCTCTGTGGTTTGACTTTTCAGAATATTGACTATTTCTAGTCAATATTGTCAGTATTTAGTTCTCTCTGCATTATTCAACTCTTACCATGCAAACAAGTAAAACCGAGGAAATGAGTCTGGAAACAAGTTGTTAAATTCACTCGCTAATAGAGGTGAAGCAGGTCCCATGTATTTAAAGTCAAAGTCATTAACCCTTGTTCTGGTTTAGTGGTGCCAGTAAAAATGTACTATGTTGTTTGTGTAAAGCCCTGTTTTAGAGCTTCGAAGCAAACAAATAAACAAACATACAGATTCCAAATGTAATTGGAAAGTGTGCTGTTGACATTTCCATCACAGTAAAGAAGTAGAGAGCTGCAAATGTCAAAGTTATTCAATTTTTCCCAATCAAAGTAAACAGAATGAATGCATTCATAGTGCATAATTATTCTAAATCACAAACCCCAAGGCTGCCTGTACGTGCAACTCTGAGAATACGACAAATGGCCATGATCAAGCGCTTGCGTTTTAATTTCTAAACCACATTAGAACCACATTAGATTTAGTCGTTCTTGGATAGTATGTCATTTTCTTTGCACCTTGTTCACCTGTTTGAGCTACAGAGCTCAAAGAGAGTCTCTCATTGCTGTTTATGTTCTCTCCACCCTTTTCACAGAGCTCTAGCAGATATTTTGAGGCAACAAGGACCCATTCCTATATCCCAGTATGACTGTGAAAACTTTGCGGCAATGAACAGCTCATCCAAAGACAACACTCCACAGCGGACGGGCTCCAAAAACCATTACACCCCTGTTCACACTTCCAAATCAAATCATGGTAAGACTCCTGACAGCTAATGCTAAAGCGTATCCTGTTTAACTGACAGCTTGCTCTCGTTGTGTCGGCTCTACATGCATATGTCTACAGTGTTTTGTTTCTTTGGTAATTGATGACATAGGCTGTAATTATAATGAATAGCAAAGCTTAGATAGAGAGTTGCTCTGTATTAACGTGAAAGGATGCAGTCACAGTCTAGGCTACTCTACCTCAGCCACAGCTAGCGTGTTAGACCAGCGTGTTACGCGCAGAGAGCTTGTCACTAGCTTGTATGGGTTGCACTGCTGGCAGGGTGCCAGACGGCTGTCACTCAAAACGCTGGATAATTCATGCCGATGCAGAACAGTGCGAGGATGAGCCAGCACATGTGCTTGTGCTTCGCCTCTGTGCTTGCAGCATAATCTGACACTTTATCGCTCGCTAATCAAGTGGCAAATTCAGAATCGTGGACACTTTTGCTGTGAGAATCAGCTGCCGTTTTGGCCTGTGGATGAACTGAAGGCTGCTCTACATTTAACAGTTCAAGGTCAGTTGGGACCTCATGGAATGTTAATTTGTCAGTTAGTACAAGATTAATAATGATTATTAACTTTATATATCAGATATATCTCAGATTGCAAGCATATATCGGTCCGCTGGCTTGATAAGGTCGGCATCCTGCTGACTATTTGCCACTGCCGGGCCCCCTTGGACTACCCAGATTACTGTCCTGCGTACAAGAATTTGTTTCATCTCCTCAGATTTTTAATACACATAGCATTTTGTTTTGGAAAATACACTAAGACGAGTATTACAAACAACTGAGACAAAAAAATACTGACTAGGGATGTAAAATTATTTTGTTGAAAATGTTGTTTCTGACACTTTGCTAGATTAAAATTATTTACTAAGTTAAGTTTCCCCTATTAGTCCCAAAATGGGCAAATTTCACCACTGGATTTTAACCCATCCGTGTAGTGAAAACACCCACATACACACTAGTGAACGCACACTTGCCCCGACAGGCAGCCCTATCCACAGCGCCTGGGGAGCAGTTGGGGGTTAGGTGCCTTGCTCAAGAGCACTTCAGTCACATACTGTCGCCTCAGGGGATTGAACCGGTGAACTTCTGGTCACAAGGCTGGTTCCCTAACCTCCAGTAAACTAAACTAATTAACAAAGGATAAAGAAAGAAACAAATGAAGGAAAAATAAGTAAATTGGAGTGTGAGTGCAAACTTAGCCATGAAAAGTGGCGTTTTGTCTAACACTCTGCCTTTCCGCTAGTGGGCTGTCCTGAAAATGCTCAGCAAAAAGCCAGCCAGCCACCAGCTTTGCTGTTGCAGGCCAACAGTGGCCCACTCTCCTCTTGCTGTCTGGGATTATATATATCTGATATATAGTCAAGTAATCTATAAGAAAGCTCTGGCTGCCTACACTCCCAGTATCTTATCTCACATTTTAAAGGTGGGCAATATGACTTATTATTTTAGATAATAAATAATATGGTAATATGCTTTTTCGAGCATATTGTGAATATCGTCAATGTGTAAAGAACATTGACCCAACTGCATGTTTCAATTACAAAGAGAGCATAATTAAGCCTGTTTTATATTTTTTTAAAAGCGATCCTTGTACTCAGTTTTTGATAGTGGTTTTTAACTGTGGCACTGCTGGTGCATTCTGTCTGTCTATTTATCAAACCCCAAAAAAACTAGATATATAAGGATACATATAAGGGATGTTAGCTAAGTTAGTAAGATGTTAGTGAGAGTACTTGGGAACATGTGCACATCCTGCAAAAATGAAGAAATTATTGTAGATATCGTGTATTCTGAAAATGTCTTCAAGTATCTTGATGTTATATTTTTGTCATATGGCCCACCCTCATCTCCGGTCTCATATCATGTTATGCCTCACTGTCCTGGGATCTCAATATTCAAATACCGCCACCTCAAATATTGTGATATTGTATTTTTGCCATATTATCCCAACCCTAACACATTTAATCAAGCTTGTTAAGATACTTCTCTCTTAGATTTGGATTTTAACTAATTTAATCTAATTTTAGTTTTGCTGTCTGTAGTGTATCGAGAAGACTGATTATAGTGTGTTCAGGCATTGGGACATAGCTTCACTTTGGGTGTGCAATAGAACGATATATTATCATTGTTGTGATATGTTATCATCAGCATATGCTTTTCTACAAAAGATGTTGAAAATGAGAAATTTTGTTTTTCGAAAAATATATATGCCAATTTTGAATTTGATGTCAGCGACATGTTCCAAAGAAGCTGGGACAGGGAAATGTTGACCACTCTGTTGCATCACCACTTTAAACAACACTCTGTAAGTGTTTGGAAACTGTGGAGACCAATTGCTGTAGTTTTGAAAGTGAAATGTTTTACCATTCCTGCTTGATATAGGATTTCAGCTGCTCAGCACTTCAGGGTCTTTTGATGTATTTTTCATAATACACCAGATGCTTTCAGTAGATAACAGGTCTGGACTGCAGGCGGGCCATTTTAGCACCTGGATTCTTATACTACAGAGCCATGATGTAATACATGCAGAATGTCGTTTGGCATTGCTTTGCTGAAATAAGCAAGGCCTCCTCTGAAAAAGACATCATGTGGATGGCAGCATATGTTACCTAAGCCTGTATAAATTTTTCAGTATTAATGGTGCCTTCACAGATGTGCAAGTCACCCATGCCATGTGCATTAATGCACCCCCATACCATCACCGATGCGACCTTTCAAGTGTGCGCTGATAACAAGCTGAGTGGTCTTTAGCCCGGAGGACACAGTGTCCATGATTTACAAAAAAGAATTTCAAATTTTGATTTGTCAGACCACAGAACACTTTTCCACTTCGCTTCAGTCCATCTTAAATGAGCTTGGGCCCAGAGACCGCAGAGACGTTTCTGGATCCTGTTATATATGGTTTCTCATTTGAATGGTTAACATTTGTGGTTGGAGTGAGGAACTGCGTTTACAGACAGTGGTTTTCTGAAGTGTTTATGAGCCCATGGAGTGGTTTCCACTGCAAAAGCCTGTCTGTTTTTAATACAGTGCTACTTAAAGTCCTGAAGATCACGGCCAGCCAGTATCGGTTTTCGGCCTTATCCGTTACGGAGATTTCTCTAGATGCTCTTAATCTTTCAATGATATTATGTACTATAGATGATGAAATGCCCAAGATCTTTGCTATTTTACATTGAGAAACGTTATTCTTGAATTGTTGCACTATTTGCCCACGCAGTCTTTCACAGAGTGGTGAACCCCTCGTCATCTTTACTTCTGAAAGACTCGGCCTCTCTGGGATTCTCTTTTAATACCCAATAATGTCAATTAACCACCAGGTGCTTTTTTTTAGGATTACACAGCTTTACCAGTCTTTTGTTGTCCCGTCCCAACTTTTTTGAAACATGTTGCTGGCATCGAATTCAAAATGGGCATATATTTTTCAAAAACTATAAAATTTCTCAGTTTCAACATTTGATCTGTTTTCTTTGTACTATTTCAGTGAAATGTAGGGTTTAAATGATTTGCACATAATTGCATTTTATTTTTATTTACATTTTGCACAGCGTCCCAACTTTTTCGGAAATGAGTTTGTATACTATGGTTATTCTATATCATGAGCATATCATGGGCATTGTCAGTACTTCTGTAACACCGAACAACTTCAAATTTAGGCTTGTAAATGCCTGTAAATAACAACAGTCGATGCACAGTAACTGCACAAATTGCACAGTAACAACTGTGCTACAACACAGTAACTGATTGGACACCCATCATGACATCATCATAATGTATTAATTTATTTTTACCTAAGTTACCTGATTTTTCAGTGTAGTTGGTGTTTCGCTGGTGTTTTTTCTAACCTTAGAAAAGCAAAGAAGTGTAGTTGTAGATATTGTGTATCGTGAAGGTGTCTTTAAGTATTGTGATGATTTTTGTCATGTCGCCCACCCTTAGCTGCACTTTCATGTCATGTCGTACCTCACTGTCCTGGGAGCTCAAGGTCCGTGTCCACCTCTCATTCAGCCACTGTTTGTGTCCTCTGGTGTGGCACGAGGCAGACCGTGTTGTGTTAAAGTGACAGTCAACGGTGCAAGTGGGGGTGAGGGAGATGCTGAGCTAGGGTGTTCAGGGCGACCTTGTGTTGTCATAGCCACCCCGAGGTCAGCCATCACAGAGATTGTTTCCATTAGAGACCAAGAGTCCACTACAGTCCTGTCTCGAGCAGACATGAGAGACACTGACAGGCTCTAGAGGAGCATGGATAATTTGTATATAAATTGAAGTCCAATGCGCTGACAACTTCAGGGACAGCGCAGATAGAAAATGCATATTGCATGCCCTAATGCACAGGTTTATTTTTCCTTTTGCACTGAGAGAGAGTGACGCTGACATTGTCGCGGGTAGTCTTGGACTGTGCTGGTTTACACATCCTGTGTTTGATTATTTTTTTTAAACTGTAGGGTAGGAATGCAGGACAGTATTGGAATCAGATCGGTATCTGTAAACTTTTGCTGGAAAAAACATTTAGCATTGACTAGATATTGGATTACATTCATTGTTCTTTGGAAGAGCAGAAAATGTAGGCAACACTGGGCTATTGCTCTGAAATGTCTGCATTTTATTCATTTTACTGCATTTGTAACTCTACAGAAATAAATGATACACTTCTCTGTTACGCTAATCCAGGTCAATCAATCTAGTTCCAGTTTCTATATTTAATATGTATCGTGATTTTTTTGTGGACCATTATTTTACAGTGAAATTGGCACATGATAGGTTTTTGTTTTTATTTTCTTAACCTAAACTTCACACTGTGTTCGGAAAATGAGCACACTAGCACATTTGCAATCTACATAACATGAATCAAATAATGTGCTACATAAAAAGTAAAAAGCAGCTGGCTCTTTAGCACATTAATTCTTGTATAATTATGCTACGAAATTTACTGTAGCAGCAGCATTCAAATACAATGTGAGTGCACATACCTGGCCCATGTTATTTACATCATAATAGGCCATTTGTGTGATTCGAGAAAAAATCTGGTCAATTCCAGTCTTGGCTGGGATTGCAAACTTGGGCTTCCCTAATGATTATGTATCTACGTTGGTATCTGCAGACACATACATGAAAAATGTCAGATATCGGCATTGCTGCATAATTCCCATATCGGTGCATCCCTACTCCGAGGCTTTTTTCCTTGTAAATCCCAACAAACGCGTACTTTGACTGCTTATTATGCAACTGTAAACCGCCATAATGAAAACTGGTGCCTAGGGAGAGCTTAAATTTTGAAGACATCACAAACAGATCCAAGACTGTGTTGTAGATTTTCACAATTCACTCAGGGGACTGAAATTTATCCCTGTATATTTGTCTTTTTCGGATAGACTTTGTTTATTTTGGTGTAATAGATCCTTCAGTCTCGTTTACTTTTAAGAATATCCATATAATGCAGTGTTTCATCAACCATGTCCTTGCCACAGCACAAAATGACTAATTAATATACTCTAATTCACTAATTAATTGATTAGCAAATGAACTGACAAAGAATAACAGAGCATTAATATAACCTCTCACTTAAAACAATTTTATTGTATTGCCCTAGGACAGTTGTGTCAGTGTGATAGCGGGTTTGTGTGCGCACGCACGCCAGTGTGTTTTTCCCAGATATTGCTTCAATACTGCATGCATAAAATTTGCCTGGCTTATTAAGCTATGATTTAATTAGTTTAATTAACATGTGGAATGCCAGTGGGCAATTTCATAATGATATGCACTCTACACATTTTTTATTTTTTTATTTCTACACTGCGGCTTCTACGTGTTTTTCTTTCTCATCAATTAATGGTAGAACTACATAGGCTATAACATTGCTTTAACGACTGGGATTTTCCCCAGCAGGTCTGAAAAGTCTCCTCATCTAGAGATGAGGGCGTTAATGCTGACTGTGTCAGACCGCCTAGTGCTCCGGGACTCACCTGCATCGCACACGTTCACTCTGACAGTCCCTAGAGTTGTTATCATTTAAAACACATTTGAAATTCTTGCCCTTGTGGTGAGACTGAAGGTTGAACCCACTCTCATAGCTCCTCAGGGAGACCAGTAGACCAGCTGGTTAAATTTAGCCACATAGACAAGTAGTGGGGGCATCATAGTGAAGGCTGTGCAAGATCACGCTCTCCAGTTTGAACTCCTGTCAGTTGCTGCAGTGACACGCCGAAGGCCTGTTGTCTGGTGGATTTGGTGGGTTAAGTCCAATTCGAAACCCCTCCACCACACACTCGTTTATTTGATTCGCAGAACTGTGTCAAAGCTCTCCTGCTCCAGCACGACGCAGCCATTCAAGCCATCCGTGTTTGTTTTGCTGTGGTTTGCCCCACTGTTACTAGTGATCCAAAGCAAGAAAGCAGGTTCTGAAGACTGGAACAGACAAGCTTCTTTTATTTCTGCGAAACTCCAGCAGGCTGCACAGCTTTTTTGCGCAGCCTATTACCAGACCAGCCCCTGAGGTTCCACCTTTCATTTCTCCATTCTGCTTTGCTCAATTGTACGCCTCTGAAAAACAAAAATGCCCTATTCTGAGTAGAAGTTGGATTTATTATTAACCTGACGCATGGCCATGCCAATTGTGCCCGGATTCCTACGGTGTAATTGAGTGTTTTCACTGAAGTTCTTCTTATCTTATTTCGCAGGGTGCTGTATCAGTAGTTGCTTTACTATTGTAAATCTGATGCATGCAGTTTACTGGGTGTACTGTCAACTTAAGTTTCCAAATGGCATCCAAGGTTATCATCAGGATATCAGATACAGCAATATACTCCAGCGTATTTCGCTGGTAATTACAATGTCAAGAGCAAAAATAACACCTCGAGTTGCTAGACGCCCTATCATGAGCAGTGCATATTGCACAAGCAAGGTGACTTTCCCTCTACATTATGGAAAGTCATAACTCTCTGAGTTGTGGAGGGAATTTTGCGTTTTATGCTGTTTACCTTGAAAGGAGAGTGAACCGACAGTGCGTGTGTGGTTTTCGTGTTCTGCTCGGGCCTCACAGCTGGCTAACTCGTTTCAGGTGGACACTACTCGAAGGAGAGCAGCCGTGGCGGAGGGCACGACCTGCACAACTTCATCTCGTCCGGCTTCGTGACTCTGGGGAGAGGCCATGTGAAAGGTAGCGCTGTGCTCTCTTTCTGTTTAATGATATTGACAGCCTGCAGCCAGGCCAGATTCACTGTAAAATACACTAAGAGATATTTGGGCTGGCTTCTGCAGTGTATATGTGATCAAGTACCTAAAGCCCAAAAGCACAGTTCAATAAGAGAGTGCCACTGAATGTACAGAATGTGCAGTGCAGTGGGTGTGATCCAGCTGAATATTTTATAACTGCTATGTGTACAGTACTGTGCTCAAGTCTTATGCATCTGAGAAGATGCTATATAAAACCATTTATCTAGAGAGTTTTCATTCATTTGCTCAGGAAAAAAAAAATATCAGAACAAATACAAACAGTTTTAATACAATAAGTAGTGATTTTATGTCAGTGTGTTTGTTTAACCATTTCTAGACCTCTTCATGTGGCAACCTGGTATTAAGTGTGTGTACCATCCAATACTGGGCCTGGCTAATCACTACTTCATGAAATTAAATCAGGTGTGCTTGTGATAAAATTTAACAAATCATGCATGGGAGCATTGAGAAGAAATCTGGAACCAAATCTGTGTTCTTCTGTCTAGTTTACATGACGTTAAGTTTGGACAGTAATGTAATTTAGACAAATGATTATCGTCTGCAGAATTATTGTGATAAATTAAATCATCATGACCCAAGTTCAGTTATCACAAGTAGAACATGTGAGCATTACAGAGCCTTTACATTTTCCCTAATGGTAATATAATTACTGTAATATAGTTACCGACTGAGCTAGCTTCCAGTATTCTGCGATAATTTACAGACATCCTATATGTTACACAAATGGTATAACAGTAACAATTGTGAATATCTGCTTTCATTTGGTTGCAAACCAAATACCATATTATCTGTACCAGAGATCTCATGTCATTTCTTGATAGCGAGGCTTATTTAAATTATCATGATATTCGATAGTCAGTTAGCAGCCCAAAGCTACAAATATCAAGAAATTCTTGTTACTTTCCAATGCATTTCTGTTTATTAGAATTATTTGTTATTTGGTGTTTTATAGGCAAAACACTTTTTTGTACAGTACTAAATATGTAACTGAATGCTGAATAAAGACCAAACTCCCCTTTTCCCTAACCACTGTGCAAGTGTTTCTAACAAAACAGTCCTAGCTTGTATGGCTCCAGGATTATAATATTGCAGTTATATCACTGCACGCTGCATTATATTGTGGCTGTCTAAAAAAGACATGTATCCTCATTTTTTCTGTTTTCATGTCAAAATTTCATGATGAATGGAACAATTGAAATGGTCTGAAATGACTTTAACGAAAGTCTTGTTACATTGGCTTACATTAAAAATAAAAAAAAGTTTTTGCCTTCTCCTGTAAAGTTACCATTTTGGCCAAACTTCTTTTTTGTTGCTTGTCAGCAACAATATTAAGACATAAATGACTAACTTTTGCTGGATTACATGAATACTTTGATTTGTCAAAAAACCCACAGAAACACTCATCTGGAGCTATGATTGCACAAGATGCTCACAACACACAGTAAAAACATAGTGATTGGTTAGATGGTTAATTTGCATATTGTGTCAGTATTGCAAAGGCCGGTGTCAAGATAACTGATTAACAAACGATATATTGTACAGGATGTGGTTAGTAATAGCTAACTACAACTGTAAAACTAATCCATAATTTTCATGATTAAACCAGGTAAGAAAATATAGGCTAATTCTTTTTCATTAGCACCAAGATGATCTTAGCCCACTGAGCTGTTGCACTACTTCCAAAAGCTGGACTGTAATGCTTGTGATACCATTGAGATTTTAATATGTTCATGACACACTGAAGCTTCTTCAGTAGGATCTAAACTCAGTGACCTATCTGCTCTCACCCCCACACAAGGCCTGCTCGGTTCCACATCCCACTCATATGTGAACACTGCTGATGCACTAATTAACGTGCTTTTGCTCTGTGTTGGCTCAAAAGCAGCTAGACCTTTTATTACGTATCTGTATATTTTGCCTTATTAAAGTGGTCTTTTTGAAGAGAAGAAAAGCAAGGTAAAGAATAGGGTAGCAGAAGATCTAGTTGATGGATAAGCAAACCAATAAAATGGTAAAACTAGATTGAGGTTAATTGCACTAAATAATAAACATGTCATTGATGTTTGTTGCTGTTGGGATTCGCTGTTGGGCTTTGCCAGCCTTTCCCTTGTCCTAAAGCATTATAGTGAGCTAGCAGTGTGAGCTGGTGACATAAATCAAGAGGTTCCCTCCCAATAAAGTGCCGTAGATCATGCGTCCATCTAGACTAAGGGGCTGAAGGAGAGAGGAAGTCGTGAGCAGCATCTGCAGTCAGTCTCCATTAGGTGCCATTCCTCTGTCTGCATTTCATTTTCTCAGCTACAGAGCATTGACCCGAAATCCATTTGTTTTTTGTGTGTCTGCCTTTCCTCCGCCACCCGAGCGGCTTGTTTTTGTTTTTGTGTCTTTGGTGCCCTTTCCTCCACGGCCTGTTCACCCATGTGCAGCCATGGCGGAAGCGCTGGCTATTTTTATCAGTGCTTCATGCAATATGAGTAGTGAAGGTATTGGTGAATCTTCAGGCTGAATGGTTTTCAGACTGCTGCTTTAAAACCTGAGCCCAATCACCTCTCGTCTATTCAAGCAGTGCCACTGCCTGTGCAGCTTTGGTTCAAAGTGGATTTTTTGTTCTGTTTTACAATGTATGTTGGTCCATTCTGTAATGGTGCGTTGCAGTCTTACTGTAGGCTGACTTGGACAGAGTTATGATCTTTTAACAGTGAGAACACAACTGTACTGTCTCACAGATTATTTGCTTGTTTTTGCGATAAACATAAACATTTTTTTGAGAAAATGAATAGCAGCCTTGGAAACAGAACACATGCAGCATCAAATAGCACACACTCACATTGTGTGATGTTAGGTTGCTGCCTATGTATTTCCTCCTGTGAGGTAGTAGGGTGTTTGAGTAGTTACAGTACTGTGCAAGTCACCGTTTCATTTACATTACATTTCCAGTCAAAGTGGCTGTTATATACTGTAATTTTTTGTAATAATAGAATAAAGAACCCCTTATAATAACCATTTACAACACATTCTCCGTCTAAGCATGTGAATGGTTATTCGAGTGTTAATGGTTCTATATAGAATCAGTGTCTCTACCAAAGAACTCTTGAAGGATGATCTTTCTTAAGAGTGTAATATTAGGGATTGCACTGATTCAATACCAGGTATAATTATCTAGATGATATGAGCAGAAAATTCTGGATCTGATCTGGTAGTAGAGTTTGAATTAGAGTAATCAAAGTTATTGAAACAGCCATTATTAATTTATCAATATCAGAAAAAAAGCAGAACATGTATACTTCAAAGAAAATTAACAGAAGCCTCAACAACTAAATATAATATCAGTTGTTTCAGTATTTAGTGTGTCCACCTCTTTATTACAGCTTCCATTCTTTTCAGGGCACTTGCTTTTACACACCTCCAAAATTCAGTCTTAGAAGGTGGTTGAGTTTTCTGTTTTTCACGATCCAAACATGTTAAGTGATGTTGAGGTCTGGACTCTGGGGTGGTCGGTCCATTGTTCTGACAACACCAGCAGTTTCTTTGTCTGATCTGAAAATTGCCTTCTTATTTATCTATTTACTTTTTCTTAGTAATGGCTTCTTAACAGCTACACATCCGTTCTAACTCATACTGTTGAGTTGTCTTCAGAAACATCTTTTTTCACTTCTGAAGCAAGAGTGGAGCTTGATTTTCTCCTCTGGGGACTGAATTGTTGGTCTGAAAGGTCTTGCATGGCTGTTAGGAGTCCAATTTTCTCTTTGTCTCATATCTAATCTCCACAGAAGCATTTCCTGATATTTGGACTGGATGTTAAATGAATGAAGGGTGGTCATTATCTGGCTGATATCATCAGAAAATGCTGCATCAGACTGCAGAGGGAAGAAAATAATGTATCTGATCTAAGCCTATAACAATTCTAGCCACACCCACATGTTTACTTGCAGCCTGATAATCGGACTAATAGCTCAATCGGAATAGAATACATCCATGTAAACACCGCAGTTGGAATAGACCAGTCCGATTGAGGCCATTCAGAATACAATTTCTATCCGATTGAACGAGGTGGGTAATCCTGTAAATAATCAGTTAAACAGAAGAATTTTAACCACGTGAACTCCTGTATCTGAACACATTCCCAATCAGAAAGCTTAAGCATGTTCTGTGCATGGGAGTTTGCGTCATAGCAAAAGGTTATATTGTTCAACATGGCGGGAGCAGAAACTGGTCTGCAGAGGAGCTGAAGTTTTTTTTCGAACAGTAAAAGACGGCAGTGGGACTGGCGTCCAGCTTACGTGTCTCAGAACATGACATCGTCCTCTTGCCCCTTCTTTAAAAAGTACATGTGAAGCACGTTTTCCTGAGTCTGACATAATTTTAAAGCAATTGAAAACAAAAGCGTGCCAAGTCAGTACTCAGCTAACTCACTGCTGCTCTTCTCAGTCTGACTGGACTCGCGTGATGCTCATTGTCATGGTCACGTCTACACTAAGCGGTACTCTGCGTATGCGTGTCATTTTGGATCCTATTACTTGTAGTGTGCATGTAAACAGAGATTTTCCATCAGTTGAGCAGAGTGTGCATATAAACACCTCAGTCTTAATCCATAATCAGAATGTATTCAATCACACTGGCAAAAATCAATAACCTACTTTTAGATGCTTGCGTTAAGTGAAGTGTTGGTATTGGACAATACTCAAGGTTTCAATATCAGTATTGGTATGTGAAGAGAAAAAGTGGTTCCCTGGCATCTCTACGTAATATGCTTAGTACCATCTGAGTGTACTTATTAAAATGAAAGCTCTTGTTGTGTTCTTAATGGATAACTGTGCAACAGCAGCTGTGGTATCTCCCACCTCACCTTAGCAGCAGCACACTCAGGCCGTATCAGGCAGTATTTTCATGGTCCTCTCCGCACCACTGCTGCCACAATCAATC